GCAGATTCGTGCATTCACCTCATCTGTCACACTACAATCAGAACTAATACAACTTCCAAGATACGTAAAACGCTCCACAACTTCCAGTGCCTCTCCCTGGATAGTGCCTCTCCCTGCACGAGTGCTCTTACCAGTCGACTGAGTGGTGTTGGAAGTTAGCATGCTCCCGAATCCCGGATGAAACAAACCAAGGACTGTTGACCTCGATAGATATGATCCTGAACTTCGCAATTAGATTGCGAACGTCTCATCACCAATCGAGTTGGCATCATCAGTGCGTTATTAGGGAGTGATTGGTGATAAAAAGTTCGCAATCGCATTGCCTATCTCAATGAACAAACCGATGACCTGAGCTATCTGAGCTACCAGCATTCGCCTCTGGGGCAGATATGACCCCCTTGCGCAGCCACGCGGTCCTGCATCAAAGCTTCTGCCTTCGACGTAGCTTCCTCACTCCTTGCTTTATCAGACGAGCGGAATTTCGATAGGCTTCAGTTGAGTGGTTGGGTCGCAATTTCTAACACGTGGTTGTTCATCTTTGGTGAACAGATTTGTAACAGTTGGTACCACTATTCCTCGGTACATGGTTTATATATGAATATTTGCCTCAACTGAACTGAGCCCTAAAGGCTTCTGTTGGGCTTTTAGGGAATCAGCTGTCGCTGGGAATTATCATGGTGATTGCGTTTGTTGGTCGTAAGCAATGACAACTTGAAAATTGCCTCCAGACGTTAATTCCAAGAAACCATTGATCGTTGTGAGCAGTGTGTTAAAGGCATAGTAATCACCCAGAACGTTTCATCACATCACCTACAGCTGCTGTGTTACCTGACTCAGGACATGTGTATTAGCGTTAACTTGTTTCTCCATATGCGCCCAAAAAGTTAACTTAAAAAGCATCTGGTTAACCTTCGACTTCTCGGTTTCCATTGTAGCTACCTGTGTGATCACTTACTTGCCGTAGTCGTCTTGTTTTCCGCAACGTCCTTTTTAACTCGCAGAATTAACTTCTGCAATGTCATATGTGAGTTTCCCCTTTGATATCAGAACCCCCTTTCAGAACTCTTCCGTGGTTGTTGGTTCGAACAAGCGTACAGCTTACTCTACAAAAGACCTGCTCAGCAACTTTGACACACTTAAATTGTCTTCGAAGGACGTCAGCGTTGACAGGGAACCAAACGCCGATGACCTGGTCTCTCGCAATGGTTACTCTGGAAAGCGTACGACGGATTCTTTGGCCACTGGTGATAGTTACGTTGGTTACTGCAATCTACCAAACCAGGTTTGTACCCCTTCATCCTGTTGACGATTTTGCAGGTCTATCGTAAAGCAGTGCGACGCGGATTCGAATTCAATCTGATGGTGGTAGGCGAGTCAGGCCTTGGAAAGTCTACGTTCATCAATTCTCTGTTTCTGAGCGAAGTCTATAATGCAGAATACCCAGGCCCTAGTCGGCGGCCCAAGAAGACTTTGTCGGTGGAGTCAACTACTGTAGTGCTTAAGGTATTTGTTGGCTCATCAATTTCGATCAATGTTTTCTCACTAGGAGCAGGGTGTATACCTAAAACTAAAATTGGTCGACACTCCTGGATTTGGTGATTCAATTGACAACAGCAATTGTTGGCAGCCCATTGTTGACTATATCAACTCCCGATTTGATGATCATATCGCAGGAGAGAGTCGCGTAAATCGCTCTCCCTACACAACTTCCGACCAGAGGATTCATGCGTTAATCTATTTCATCGCCCCAACCGGTAGGCTTCTGCTTTCACAGCTTTGCGTTGTTCTCTTTTTGCGCATCTTTTTCTTTCGTTTTATTTTTCAGTTTTCTGGTAGACTGATCACATACGGTTGCGTTACATTCGCCTGGTGAGCCTGAATCTGAACGAAACCAATTATGGATTATCTTTCAGGACCAACCATCTCACTTTACAGTCGGTCATACACCTTGTTCTCAAAGTGATCCACTAAGCTCCACAGCAAATGAAATCTTTTGCCTGATGACTTATTTTTCTTCTTCAATAAGTCAGTGGATTCGCCGAACTATTTTTCAGCATCAAATTTTGCATCTGTCCAGTGGTTCATTATTATCATCGTCATCGACAGCTTGACATCAATGTTCAACACCGATGCTTCTCTGCCGTAGTTCAACCACTGTTAACCCACAAATCCNTGACTTCCCCTACCTAGGCTTGGGCAACCTGGCAGTATCCTAGCCCTCGTGCTTCCTTCGGGTGGCATGGCAGCTAGGCACCGAAAAGGTGCTACAGCTGAACGATTTTTTTGCAGTGAAGTCAAGGAACAAAACTCCTAGAGCATCTGGTATCAATGAAAGCTCGGATGGCAACAATAAAAAATCGTTCAACTATAACACCCTTTTGATGCCTAATTACCATGCTACCGGAAGGAGGCATGAGGGCTCGATACTGCCCAGGTTGTCAGAGCCTAGGCAGGGGAAAGTGACAGAAAGAGGTCGGGTTCTAACCACGGACCTAGATCACTTTGTACCAGTTCCTCTATATTCGCTAATAAATTTATTGCAAAATAACTCCTATAAAGGGGATCCTTTTTTCCTGCTATCCCTTACATAATAGGAACGGCTTTTGCGTAAAACAGCAGAATAATTCTTTCTGGTAAGCTGTGATTCTGTAGTGCAAAAAGAAAAATTACCTCAAAAATTTGACTCATGATCTATTAAGTTGTCACACAAAGCTAGAGATTTGTTAGAGGTATCCTCTTTATTAAGGGATCCCACGAGTGATCCTTGTTGGGATGATCAATGTATACTCTAGTGATGCTCAAGACTACACAGTGCGCTAATCTTCGCGCATTGAATATGTTGGCTGATTCTTTCGAATAATTCTGCTTCAGATGGCATGTGTTTCAGAATGCTGTACATATGTGTTGCTCGAAAACGGAAGAACAAAGCTCGCTATACAAGTTACAGGAAGTTAACAGCAGTTGTACTACTCATCTGCTTTCCGAGACAGATCTCTACACATTTTGGTTGGGGCCCAAAATATTGGGCAGCTGTTCAGTCACGGAAATTTACGTAGTGTTTCAAAATTAAGGTCCAACAAATATCATTATCATTGAAACAGCCGTCCTGTCAGTTGATATTTCTCTCAGTTCACGCGGTCTTGATCAGAGTTTAGTGCAACGGTCAACTGAAATCATTTCAGTCGAATCAATCTCCCGCAAGAATGGGGAGTTGGTCGAAAAAAGATCATGTAGCAACTCGTCCTCACCATTTGCATTAGTGGTATTAAGTAGTTTTGTTGGGCATTCTGGACTGCTCTTTCTAATCCATCTTTTTTCCAGGTCATTCTTTGAAGCAGATAGATGTGGAATTTTTAAAAAGAATCCAGGATAAGGTGAATGTCATACCTGTGATAGCCAAGGCCGATACGATGACCGTCGATGAGTGCCGCGAATTCAAGAAAGTTATCCAGAACGAATTGGCCGCATTGAAAATCCGCACTTTCGAGTTCCCGGATCCGCCAGAATGTGAGGGTAAGGGAATTTTAAGCTGATGTTTTTTATTGATCGGTCTTTTTGGCTGAAGATTATTCGCTTCAATTTATCTCGTCCGAAATGATGTTCTTCTACTGCGGAGAAATGAGAACTATTCATTCGGAGGTAATGGGGCTCGAACTTCACTGCTGTCCATGATTGCTGAATTCGACTCAGTGTTCCTGTAATTGTGATTACCACGCCCACTGTTCACGGAATTCCCAATAGTAATGAGGATGGTTGCAATTTTCTCAACGGCCAAGAAATGGACCCATTGTTCATTTGTAGTTTCTTCATCTGCCCCAAGCGACTATAAGTTCTGATTTGGTGGAAAATTTTATAGGCAACTAACCACTCTCTTAGCCAACTCGGTGAGTTCAGATATTGCCGTGGTCGCTGATGACCTCAGTGCACACAATCTCCCTACATCAGAGGTGTGCCTTGGTGGCTTGGACTCAAAACGTAATGGCAATGATACCAGTCTGCTGCAGCTTCGTACTGGCCACCAAGTGCGCCTCTGTAGCAGTAGGCGCCGTCTTGCTACTTGACATCCCCCAACTGATGAACAACCATGTAACCATAGACATTAGCAGCCAAGATGGGTTTCTATTATTGACTGTTGATCCCTACACCACTCCCATCAACTCAGATCATTCTATTGTCCGATGTAAATTCACCAATATCTAGGAAATAGACTTCTGGTTTATTCGTCGATAAAGTTCCTGATCCACAGATCTTATCAAAGCAGCCTAAGTGAAGTTTTAAGTGCTGCATCTTCAGTCGCAACTGGGTCGTGATAAGCAATACCACATATCCGGTTGAAAACTTGGCATGTGGTTTATCTCATGGCTCACCAAATGAGTCCTGGATTTCAGCACAGACTTCGTATCTTTTCGAACACTGCACACAACTAAGCCAGGTATCAGCTGAAGCGTATTTTGCGTGTGGATGGAGCAATCAGAGAACTCTGGGAATGGAGGAAGCTAGTGCAACTGGGAATGTTCACGAACTGTACCACTTGATGCGCAAAAAAGGGCCGAACAAGCTGTTGTGAGGTCGTCAAAGGTAATGTTGTAAATTTAAGATATACGAAGAACCGTCGTTTTGATCGCTGGACTGAGTATTTTCGACAACAGTTTAGTTGGATATGTGCCTCTGAATCCGAATTTTTTATTCAGTGCGTTCAATTCGTGCTGTATCGTGTGAGTTTTGGACTACTAATAGTATGCTAATAATGCTAATATGCGTTTCCGCCTGAAAGTACTATTAGGCCGCAGATATAGTTGGAAATCTGCCAGCGTTATTCGAAGACGGTAGTGGACCTTTGTGTTTCATTTCACTGGGTTGTTTAAGCTAATTTGGGAACATCACTGTAACCCGGGCCAATCAAATCGGTGTCAGTAAATCATTGTACCTTTATCCAAGAAATGGGAGATGTCGATGGTACCGTAAAGTTGTACCGTAAATTGAGGTCTTGGCAGCCAACAACTACTGCAAACATGTTTTTCTAATTCCTGCCCCAGTCCGTGGCAATGAAGAAGAGTTGGTAAAAATTCGACGACTACGTGATCGCGCTCCCTTCGCGGTTGTCGGGGCCAACACATTGGTCTCCGGTGGTGACGGGGGATCTCGTGTCCGAGCTCGAACCTATCCATGGGGTGTAGTAGAAGTGGACAATCTGGAACACAATGATTTCCCGGCGTTACGATATCTGTTGCTGACAGCATTCTTGCAAGTAAGTTCTGGTTATCCAATCACTTCAAGTTCTCCGAATTTCATTTGTCATCCTTTCGTGTTGGTAGTGATATCATTTTCACTGAGTAAACCTTTCAGCTCCGGTATCCCTTTTCTACATTGTTTATGCACCCAATTTTTCTGAGCGCATCGGAACCCACGCCTAATCATTACCGTTTCCAGACTTGCTTATAAGGACTGAGAACCAGATATCATTCAGAGAAGAATCTCGTCAGACACTGTGACTGACTGGTGGGTAGCCCATTTGTTTGTTGGTTGCAGAACTCAAAACGCCCATTTGTGTTAAGGTGTGTCATCTTTGTTTCATGGTATTTTTAGTGCCAGTCGGCATGTCTAGTTAACCCCTACCTCGTTCTTTTCAGCAATATCTTCATCTACAGCATATTTGAGTACCGTTTCTTACATCGGGCTTCCAGTAATGATATGTTTGTTCCGGGATGACTTTTTTGTTTCAAGAATCCTCACAAACCTTTCTGCCTCCTTTTACCAGGAATTGCGAGACGTGACACACAATGTGCACTACGAGAATTACCGAAGCGCCAAACTATCCGGGATTGCCGAAGAAAGTCATTTCCAAACACGTGATGGCAAAGACCCAATGGCGTTGATGGAGGCGGAAAAGAAGGAACACGAACTGAAAATGCGTAAGATGGAGGCAGAAATGGAAGCAGTGTTTGAACAGAAGGTGAATATTCTCCACATAGTTTTAACTTTTTCTCCGTTTTTCATGTACGCTGAGTTTCTGACCCGTGACATAAGTTGTGTGATTGCGAATGCCGTGCTTCTGATGGTCAAGTAACCCTCAAATGACCACCATTCGGTACTTGCGTGGAAGCTGACTGGCGTCCCATACTTCTGGTGCACACTGAGTGCACAATAAAGGCTACCAATGACATGAGCCTGAGCAATTACGTGGTATAGCCACAGGACCGAGACCTCGCTTTAAAACTTTCAGAAGATACAGGATGCATTTGCAGTGAACAACATATCAGTGTGGTGGTCCAACCCTCACCTAAACCTTTTCGCCTTAAACATCCTCTGCCCTTGATGCATTGGGTACCCTGTATCTAAAAACGTGTATGGTCCGTTCGGTTAGGGGCTGTTGGCACAAGGGCGAGCTCATGAGGACCACATAAACCACCGGAAGATACAATACAACTGGAAAGGCTGGAAAATGAATCAGCAACTGTGTGGAGAAGAGCCGGGATGCCCTGTACAGTTGCTTCATCCTTATCGGGAACCACCAGAAGTGAGGATCTGATGAAACTCCATGGATTTTTGAATCCGCGACCTTTCGGCTAGTGGTTTGAATGTTTAACTGTTCGGCCACGATCAGCATTGCGATTGGCTGGCATCTGAAAAAGTGTCAATTTCGCCAGCGAATGGGTTACTAGCTCACGCGACATCATGAAATGGAGCGAGCGCCGGTTCAAATTGTATTCTAGTTTCATCAGAAGCGCTTTTCTCGGTCAAAATAATTGTTCTGTAGCTACTGGTTGTGGATAGGATCCTTCTTACCCGCTTTCAATGTAACAGAATTCACGAAATCTGCTCTTGAGTGCTTTGCGCAAATGAAGACAAACCTACATTTGAGCGAAATTTTTCGAGTCACATTTCCACGGAGAATTTTGGATTTTGGATCTGGAAAATGACGGTAACCTATTGAGAAGTTATCTGCCTTTCAGTCGCTCTCTGTTCTACCCCTTCCAAGCTCTTAAATACCCAATATGTAGTGCCGAAATGGCTCGCCGAAAACTTGGATAGTGTCGATCGACCTACCAGCGTGTCCGAGTTAAGTCTGAGAGGCAGCTTGTCCGTTTAAGCGGGCTTGTTGGCTGTAAACATGGAATATTGTCGTCGTCATATAACGTGTTATGGTGGTATTCTTCACAGAATGGCTGTGTGCCAACCTCAAATGTCACAAAAGGGTTAATTGTTCTAAATGTCGTTGAGGCCAATGCAATGCAATGCCATGTGAGCTAACCGAACAGAAAAATCGTGTAGCCGTAACACCCTTCCGGTGCCTAGCTGCCATGCCATTCGAAGGAAGCACGAGGGCTAACCGACAATCATATGTTCAACTACTGACCGGAAGATCACGGATTCGAAACTCTAATTTTCGTGAGATGCTCACTGCTGGCGGTTGCCAACAAGGATTAAACAGCTGTACACTGCTTCTCGGCTGTTTATCATAGGTTGGCTGCACTAACAGGATCAAATATCTATTGAAAACCTTCGTCTACGAAAGAGCGACTGTCCAAATTTAGTCTAATAGCTGGTGGTAAGAAGTTATACATTTGTTCTTCGATCCGGAGATCACTTAGGATCGGTCCCTTGGAGTACATTTCACCGCCAACATCCCTTTAAGACTACGCGAGCTTCTGGCTTGATATGCTTTTATTGCTTCGTTACTAGTTCACCTTTCTGGCTTCGGAGCCTTTACGTTTAGCCTCGAGGATATCATGGTCGCCTTGTGCATCATTTACCCGTGCAACTAAGTCTTTCGCCCACCACAATGTTGCTGTCCCCGCAGCAGACCTCTTGTCAAAAGTGAAATCACTTCTCTGCGGCAGTTCCCATCATATATTTTTCTTTCAGAGTACTAGCGGTGATGTGCTAATCTGGTGTACACTGCGGGTTTGGGGCTCAGATCGTCTCCGTAATCTTATTTTTTACGATTACTCCATAGAAGTAACCTGTGTACGGTGCACCATCCCATTGAGTGACATTGTTCCATCTAGGTTATCTTTGTCTCGTATCTTCTCGTCAACTGCGCCTTTTGCTGCATCGACCCGGCGACTATTTAGAATGATTCAGTCCTCGCCTATTTTTCGTGACAGTAGCCGTGTGTGCGATAGATTGGATCGCGATATCCTATTTTGCACATGCACACACGCACACTAACCTGTAGTGCACTGTTCGGGAACCTGAATAAACAATTGTCGATCCCACCACACCACTCCGTTTACTGTTATGCTTGCGACAGGCGCTAGGGATGTGGGTAACAACGCTTCACCTGTTGTTTAGAGCTTTGTTCTTCATACATACTATTCTATTTCATCCGTTTAAGACTTGCAATTCTAAGTGTTTTGTTAATAGGCAAGTATTCTGTATAGCATCGGTGTTTTCCACCTTATTTATTCCGTGGGATTTATTCAGAGCGTTCTGTTGGTTTTACACACGCTCTCTTCGTCAACAGCTTGCTTGCTTCATGAATAATTTCACTTCAGGATACCCACTAACTACCCAAATTTTACTCAAGAATATGTCAATTCAGGCACTGGTCTGCAAACTGAGATGGTGCTAACATGTGACTGAAATTCACCCTCCCCCCACCCACGATATTCTTGGACCAAATGTGTTTCGCAATTGCCATCTTAAAGTTCATTTGCGCTGGATATTTCAGAAATGCTGTCTCTAGGTGCAATGTGCTACTTATAGTTTTATTGAAATGTCGCACATTTTTCATCAACCCCGAAAATGAAATATTATTTCAATTAAGCGTTGATAATTATGGTATTCAGGCACTGGTCTGCAAACTGAGATGGTGCTAACATGTGACTGAAATTCACCCTCCCCCCACCCACGATATTCTTGGACCAAATGTGTTTCGCAATTGCCATCTTAAAGTTCATTTGCGCTGGATATTTCAGAAATGCTGTCTCTAGGTGCAATGTGCTACTTATAGTTTTATTGAAATGTCGCACATTTTTCATCAACCCCGAAAATGAAATATTATTTCAATTAAGCGTTGAATTATGGTATCCATTTGGCCTGTTTTTACATTCCTTGTTTGTAAATGAAGACACAGTAGAATCCCTCCACAGTGACATGCTTCGAGCCTTTCCTTTTTTAAAAAACTAAAATAGCTATTGTGATTTCAGTTGTGGACCCATGTTTCCCATTCCAGCAACCAGCCATAATGTTCCCACAGCAACACAGTATGCATTAATGTTACAGCAAAGTAATTTTTTGTGAATGGGAAGCGCTGGATTTCAACACTCTCCTTAGTGTTTATCGACGGCCGTCAGGCTTTCCAGTCTCCGCTCTGTTCTCAAATGTACTTGCAATCTCATTGCTTCTTTCATAACTGACGTCCATTTATGTAGGCTTTTGAACGGACTATCGGTTGCAGTATACATTCGTCTGTCTGAAGAATTGCTGTTGCATGTGAAGGCTCCCTTAGTTTGTCAAGTTATGGGATGTTTTTGTTTTTTCAGTGTTCGCAAATGTCATGCATTCATTTTGAGCGCATGTAAGGAGTAATGTACAGCTACTATCAATCGAATTCTAGTTGCACAAAGTTCCCTTGCCTGGGTTTCAGCTCCACGTTAACGCTCCCGGGGCCTCAGTATTACTCCTAAAATCTTCCGATTAGCGGATATTCTCCTCGGTCCGTATTACTTCGTGCATTTTTTTTCACTAAGCAGTCTGATGTCTGGATTCTCTCGCTGGCTTCTCCCTTCTTGCCCAGGAACTGGCCTGATTTACTCCACCGGCAACTATAAGTCATATATTGGTTGAGGAGGTTAATTTGCCTGGAATCGCCCGATGGTTTCTTCATGCTTTGTTCAAGTTCAGCTTCCCTGTAGCAGCTTGATTCAGCTCTTCATGATATACTGGTAGCTATATCCTAGGGGCGTGCAGAAGTCGGCTTCCGTTTCGGCCAACAAAAATTTGACTCGCGCAAAAATACCCACGATTGTCCCAGATTGTCTTAACTGATCGATTGGTTCAATTGTGTACCGTAACGCAACTTCATTCTCAGTGTGTAAGCGCCTTTAGTCACTGTCTCTGAGAGCAGGAATACTTGGTTTCATCCAATGTTGAAATATTTATCAGTTACTTATCATTCTTGCTTACATTTTATCCATGTGTAGTGCCTATCGAGACCATATTCTTGGAGCTTTATCCAAGTTGTGGAATATTCTTATTTTACTGTTTGCTGTGAAGTTACCTGGAGGGGTGATCCTAACCCTGCATTATATCTTCTTGGTACTTCTCAATGAATTACGAAGCGAGAGTGCTGTGCATACACTCTCCAAATGCAATACAGTTTTACCAAATCGCTTCACGTCGGTTCAGCCTCAGTTTGATGCTCGAAAGCCGGATTCGGGTCAGCGAAAATCTCCAACACGAATCATTGTTCAACGTCTTCACGTCGGTTCAGCCTCAGTTTGATGCTCGAAAGCCGGATTCGGGTCAGCAAAAATCTCCAACACGAATCATCTGTTCGACGTTACACCTAACGGCCCAGAAATTCAAGGAGTGGGCATCTCCATGAGAAACTCTTAACTAGTTTTCCATTCACTGACACGCCAACAGGTTTGTGAAGACGGTAGAAATCTGTGGCATGCATTGCGCAATGGAATCGAAGAGAATGAATCAGTCGACAAAATCGGACGCACTAATGGAATCAAGGAACACTAAGATTATACTACGCCTACGTGACCTCCGTTGCTCTAACACTTGACGGTGTTCTCCTCGGTCGGTATCCTGTTTACTGTTCCCGCGTCAGGTCTTAAAGTACTGCCTTATCACGACGTTATGATCGTGATCAACCTGATGCCTCTGGGATTAGCACACTCACTGCGAGCACCCATTTTTAAAATCGATTCACCCCAGTTTATCGGGATGACCCCCTTCCCCAAGATTTAGGCAAGTAAGTTCGACAAGCACTGAGTTGCCTTCATCCGAGATAGATGGAGAAGGGAGAAAATGTGTTCGAGTACCTCCGAAGCTTTCGTGATTTCCATTTCCACTGCCCAAGCTCCATTCCGATTCAGAAGTTCGGTTGTACAGCGGCAGCTGGTCAGTGGAACTGTTCACTGTGTGCAGTCCGACGATTCCAGCGTTTTTCTCCTCGGAGATCAGTGAACAACTGTCAGCCGGTCGTTCTCATCGGCAGCTGGTCAGTTGAACTGTTCACTGTATGCAGTCCGACGATTCCGGCGTTTTTCTCCTCGGAGATCGGTGAACAACCGTCAATCGGTCGTTTTTCTCACCGGTAGCTTTGTTCGACGTCGCGCGACTTTCGCCTACTTCAGAGTTTCTCGCTCACGCTTGCATCGACCAAGATTCCTAATCAGCACGGGCACTTTCGTTTGACGCTTCATAGTTCCTCAGATTGTATTCAATTTTCGGCCAGTTGGAATGTCCCATTCTTTAGCATAGTTAGCCTTGTCTGTTAGGTATAGCTAGTTGCGCCGTACGTTAGGCAGCACGCATCGCACGTTGAAGGGTCACGGATAGTAATATGCAGCGACAGCTCACATCAGGTAATGGATTCGAGGGAAGGGACTTCAGTAGGTGGTTTTGACAAGTTTAATTAACAATGACCATTCGATTTGTGCATACCTTGCATGCCCCCGAAGAGCGCAAACAAAGCAGCAACAGACAAATGCGTTGTCCGAATTGCTTTCTCACCAAGTAGTCTTCGTTGTGTCAAACTGTTTTGTCTAGCTGTTCTATTTTTTTCGGAGACCGCTGCTGCCAACTGTTTGGCGATAGTAGCCAGGCCGCCTATTGTTTCCCGCTAACTGGGTCACATGTGCTGGAGAGACTGAATTGCTTTGAATCCCATGATGTTTGTTTAACACCGTTTGAAGTTTTTGTCAAATTCTTTCTCTCTTCGAAATGGGACTGATCCGTGTCATCAGTTTTTTGAGAGGTTGAACAAAGCCACTCTGAAAACTGGCATGAATTCGTTTCGGCCAGTGTTAGCTCATAACTCGCTCGGATGTATCCTTGAATGTTGCCGATTCCCAGATTTATGGGTTAGCTTCAATGCTGCACTCTCAATAGTTGGTGGTTCCACCGGCCTCCTCAGTCGCTGCTTTCTGACCCTTAGATTTGCGTTCGGTTTGACTGCTTACCACTGAACGCAGAACCGAAGCGATCCTCAACCATCTGTCACTTTAGATTATACAGTATTGCTCCGACTTACCTGTTCGATCCTCATTTTTTTCTGTAGGACACAATAGGGCAACAGGTTTTCTACGGCAGTCAGACCCAAGTGATTAGTTATCTGCTTATCCGTCTTTTCATAGGTACAAGAAAAGACTCAGAAACTTCGTGAATTTGAGGCAGATATTCTACGTCGTTCGGAGCAAATTCGGGAGCAGCTACGTGCCCAAGAACAGGAACAAGAAGCGGCTCGTCGTGCTTTCGAACTGGAACGTGCCAACTGGGAAGAAGCTTGGCGTGAGTGGGATGTTGGTGCCGATCTCAGCACTAATGGATCTGCTTTGGGCTTGGGTGAGCGTGTCATGAATGAGGTGATTAAAGAACGTGTGAAAACGGAAAAGAAACGAAAGGGCTTGTTTTAACCGCTACACACTTCGTTACTTGTGCAATGGGCCAGTGCGGCGCCTCTTCCATCCTCATCCTTAATCGATTGCATTTCTAACGCTTTTTACTCTGCTGTCTTCGCTATACTAGACTTGTATTCAACTTTTTTAAACAATATTTAACGGGATCTTTGATATTTGCGAGCCTGCTTGGCATGTGTTTTATCACCAATTCCTTGGTAATCGATGGGACGTAACATGCTTCTCCGTCTTTATTACTCGTCATTTGAACGGTTTTCTGTTTTCATCCTGTTCACTGTTGTCGGACCCACTGGTTACTCCCCACCTGTATCCCTCCTAGGAGCATTTTTTATCGGTGCATTTATCATTCTTTTTGTGAATTTTTTCTCCTTAAATTTCATCTAGCTCTCATTTGGGTACGGTGACTCACCCATGCATACCTAGGGCAATGATCACGCTGATGTTCCACTATCGGTCTTCTTCTTTTGACCCGGTTCTATAACTCGCGGAATTTCGCTTTTTTCTGTCGATTATGTGGTTTCTATGTCAAGTACTACTGTATGAGTAGCTTTAATTTCAAGAAATCGTATCTTATAGACCTTGGTTTTCCACTGTTGTCTCCTCTGCGCGAGATGCCTGATGGGAAAATTTCATTAGTTGTTTATTTGGTCCTCGTCATCGATAGCCATGAACCAATAATAAGTACTGGTGCTTAACGTCCATACAATCGGGAAGGAAATGCCGTACTGCAGAGTGGCAAAAGGGGAAGACTGGAACCTAGTGTAAACAGCCTGGTCACTACAGAAAACGATCAAGAACAAAGTGCCTGCACCTTGAAATGACCAGGACGTAAACCCACCGAGTCAAGAGTCTATTATTAGGATTGACCCAACGTTCTTCCCGAGCCTCACCTGACATGAGCCCACCACAGAAGGGCAGACCAGGTAGGTGGTCCGACTACGGGAGCATAACAAACTTATCACTGGGATTGGTTATATGCCATGTCCTGTGGGGTTTCAAACCACTTACAAGGACAACTTACTAGGATCCCAACCAGGAAGGCGTGAAGATCCCACAGCACTCGGGTTTAGAGGAGCCTTCATTTCGCGTTGCCTGTTAGTCTGTCGACAACAATAGTTCGGAATTTAGAACAGTTATTCCTTTGGTGGAAGTTTGTTGGACATACGTAATACGTGTCCCAACCGCCTTAAAATGATGTGTTTTCCTCACTGCTTTGGCGACTGGCTCTTCACTAGTTGCTTGCTTGTGCGCCTTTCCATGGCGAACTTGCTGTAGCCATGGTCGTTGGTTTGTTCGCTGAGCCGGGCAATTTGATTGAAAACGTTTCATCGCCAATCGAGGTGACATCATCAGTGCGTTGTTAGGGAGCGAAGTGATGGGTTGGTGGTTGCGCACAACCACCGATCTTGTGGAACATTCTAACAATCTTTCTTTGGCGAAATACACTTATTTGCAGACAAATTTGATTTTGCGGGAGACTCACCTGGAACGCAGCTGAGTATCTCGTTTATCATATTTTCAAGCAACTAAATGTGCTTCCTTTGTCTCCATAAAGGGCTGTCTGAAGCTACCGTGCGTTTTTATGTGCCATGGTGGGCGGCCAAGGAAGCCAAGGACGGACACAGAGTTGCACTACTGTCAGCAGGCCACAACACATCGCTACGCTCCCTAACAACGTACTGATGACTTCACCCCCATTGATGATAAAACGTTTGCAATCAAGTTGCCCAGTTCAGCGAACAAACCATCGACCAACTGTGCTACCACAATGTTCTTTATTGCGAAATGGTGCAGCGAACACCTGCGGTAGTGTGAAAAGAACCATACTTGAATATTAGAACCCTTTTTTGTGGACCGTTAATCGTAGGGGCCAGTTTTCACAACGGTAGAGTAAGGGTGCCATTGAAGTCAATCAGCTTTAGCAAATTTCATTACTAGTGGCATAAATTGCGCAAGTCCACAAGTGACGCTTACCTCTTCATAGTACATTGAATTCCGTCTCGGCACAGTGACGGCGCTCAAGTGTTATTTCAATTTTAGGGGTCTTTATCCATTATAGTTTGCGTTAGATGATTATGTCGATGACAAAATTGACCAGAAACCGAGGTAGGACAGCTTTATGGAACTCCATTTCTTATAAGGAAAGTTTAGCATAGTTCATCGAAACCCGCTTACAAGATCAGAAGTGAAGGAGGTTGAGAGCACTCAGGGTATTTACAAACTCAGGGATATTCCTCTTTGCCCGAGTATATGTGGAAGAACTGACCTATCTGCGGCGTCAAAGGCTGCTTTAAAGTTGGGTAAAACCGCAATAGTAATAAGTATCGTTTCGCCAGTACTCCTTCTGTCCTGGCGCAATTATTCTGGTCGGTCCACTGGAATCAATTTTCGGTCTCATTAGACCTCATCACTGAGATTTGAACCCCGCTTATTTGACATGTGAGGCAAGTCTGTTACCACTAACAGGCATGACGTCCCTAAATCAGCACATCTGAACGTGTGAACTTGTTCACGCTTGGGCGATGTGAATGGTTCCCCAATGGAGGTTGGTAGAGTAGTGGTCACTCGCTTGCCCCGTATGCCAAGTTTCTAAAGTTCAAGTCTCAGCATGACCAAGGATATATATTGCTGATGAATTCTAATAACGGCGAAACTCAATACGGGGTTTCCCGTTTATGGTTTAGACTAGTCAGAATAATTGTCCGTATAGGAGAGTTGACACAGCAAGTGATGTGAACACAATTCATAGGACTTGCACCCGCAGTTCAATATAACCAGCTTATGCACAACCACCGCCTGAGATCGGAAGTAGTACTGTACTGATAGGAAAGGTCATCATTCTCAATCCGAATACTCGCTACGTATCCAAAGGGTTGTGATAAGGGGAGATTGGAAAAGATGTTCTCTTTGTAAATGATAATTTATGAAATGAAAACAACCGCTTGGTCGTGGGTATACCAATTGTCCGTATAGGAGAGTTGACACAGCAAGTGATGTGAACACAATTCATAGGACTTGCACCCGCAGTTCAATATAACCAGCTTATGCACAACCACCGCCTGAGATCGGAAGTAGTACTGTACTGATAGGAAAGGTCATCATTCTCAATCCGAATACTCGCTACGTATCCAAAGGGTTGTGATAAGGGGAGATTGGAAAAGATGTTCTCTTTGTAAATGATAATTTATGAAATGAAAACAACCGCTTGGTCGGTGGGTATACCGAAAAAAAACAGCTATGGAGTCCCAGACCCATCGTGCGGTGGCTATGAAAAATGGAATCGTATGGCTTTGAAAAAATGGGACTAAGATACAAAGGCTGTTGCAACTTATCAGAGTAAACAAAACTACGAAAACCTAAGAGTGATTCCTCTGTGTATACGTCAGTGACTGCCGTGTGTGACAAAATTCTGCCGAGAAGGTAGCGGAATTGACACTTTAATGGTGTGCTTCGGTGTCACAACGCCAATATTTTGTGACAGCTGCCGTCAAGTTTTATGGGATGAAAATGTCCGCTACCATAGTGAGTTATTTGGATGAAAGAGTATCAGCAATTCAGAATCGTAAGTCCAGAGACACGCAGATTGGACGAAAATACATGAACTCGAATCGCGACCCCCCCCCTCTTACAGGGCGACTACGCTATCGGAGACGATTGCTCTCCGTCACAGCCGACTCACCATACTTCTGTCTAATGGATTATTAGTTGGTATCTGTCGGTTTCATCAACGAGCCCTTTATACGACCTACGCAATAGGCCAAACATTGACACCGTCCGCTTACCCAAAGAGCTTTGTTGCAACGCTCCGGTTTTGACTTCGTCCTGGGTTGGAAAAACATGCTATGAAGCACGTCCTTTGTGGGATGCTTTGAAACTGCTTACGAATAACAATATGTTCACTATACTGCAGTACAGTAGTAGTGTTGTTCAGAGAGTGCTGACAGCTGAATAAATGTCATTTATCGGAATTCGATATGCACTGAGTTATAAGATTGTCCCTCTGTTCTTTTTTGGGCACAAGCACCACGCAGAGTTCCACTTGTCCTGATCAGGTAGCACTTCTGGTTCGATAGTGCGAATAAACACTTAATTCATAGATCAGTAGATCCACCGGCCTTCATGTCAGCCGAGGCTTTTATTTGTATGGCTTCCGCCTGGTTACTAATGGACATTTCGTACTCTAAGCTACCTTTATGCCGGACAAACTGGATAATTCTGACATTCTTCTGAAATTTCATAGTGATTTCACTATGCTTGGTATATCGAAGGCCATTCGCATTTCCGCGGCATTCAATCAAAACGGGTTAGTTTTACTGGCCAGTCAGTTGGTCTGCCTCTATGAGCCGTCTACACCTAACGCCTAACTTTTGTCCGCAGAATTAGGCCTGTGTTCAGAGCGTAAACAGTGTCCTTAGAATCTTAGCTAGGCAGAGACGAGAAGCCTCTGAAACTAGTCGAATCATGTTCGAGCGGTTCACCGTTCTACTGGAATAAACTTGATCAGGTCAGAGCATCCACTTCAAGCAAGTCATAGTTGAGGATATTTTCATTTCAAACAATTTTCACTAGAAGTCGAAAGTTTGTTTTTGGTGACATAAGTATGGAAATATTGTTATCGATAAAAAACTCGATAACCACAGTTTTAAATCCGGGAACTGACAGCAACTCAAGTAACAGCGTGCTCTGTCGAGTTGCGGGCACGTGGGATTTTCCAATCGCTAACAGTTATCAAACCACNACGAGAAGCCTCTGAAACTAGTCGAATCATGTTCGAGCGGTTCACCGTTCTACTGGAATAAACTTGATCAGGTCAGAGCATCCACTTCAAGCAAGTCATAGTTGAGGATATTTTCATTTCAAACAATTTTCACTAGAAGTCGAAAGTTTGTTTTTGGTGACATAAGTATGGAAATATTGTTATCGATAAAAAACTCGATAACCACAGTTTTAAATCCGGGAACTGACAGCAACTCAAGTAACAGCGTGCTCTGTCGAGTTGCGGGCACGTGGGATTTTCCAATCGCTAACAGTTATCAAACCACTCTCCCGTCCAACTTTCGGCTCGTCCAAAATTATTCCAGTGCGTTGAACAAACTGCCACTGGTAGTGGGCAATGCGCACTCAGACGGAAAGTATAAGTATCTTGTGCTGGGTACAAGATAGGTTACTACATACAATAGGCAGCTGCGGTTGTCCATCAGTCAAACTGGGCTTGTTCGTGGATTTAAGATCCATTCAATCTCCTTGAAATACAGTGCTCCAAAAAATCCAGTTGAGAAGGTAACCATATCATGTGTAATTCGCGTTTTTACCCACACAGTTATTGCGTGTTCAATAGTGGGGAGGGTAAACGGGAAAAATGATCCTAATAAGAAACGTTCGTGATAGTTTAGCTGTAAAGCACTTTAGTGCGTATCTGCCATGCCATCAGAAGGAAGCACGAGAGTAGAGGCACTGTCAAGTTGCTCAAACTTACACACGGGGAGTTGAAATCCCGGGGTTCGGTTCGAACCATAGTCAGTGCCCCGGGAAAGGGTACTGCGAACGAAGTAGAAGTAATATAACTGGCGAGAATGCTGACATTGTATATTATACTGGTCGAAATTACACATACTGTTTATCAGGCATATGCGGCTAGATTCTCAGAGTTGACTTGTAAAGCCCCATCCAGATTAGCCATGTGCAAACTGTTGAGGTTCCCTAAAACAGCAGAAAAGCTGCACAATTCTCCTTGAATATCCAGAACATTCCACTGCTTTTCAGATGAAAAATTCAACACTGAACCTACACAGCTTACATTATTAGTTCTCCGTCTCCGTAACATAGTGCTGGTGGGTCCAACATGGATGTATCACAGTGAACAAACATTTAGAGGAGAAACATTGTATTATTCAAACAGGATAAACTCTGGAAATGCCAAAACCGAAGTGTGTCTGTGAAAGTGTTCTGATTGATCAACACGTCTTCTCAATCGACCTGGATAGCATGTCATGGATTCGTTCATCATTAGAGAGGATCTTTGCTTTGAACGTGGCAATTGCTTTTCTTTGTTCGGCTGCATAGTTTTGTAACTCAGCAAGTTGAGCTCGTAATGGTTGGATCGACGACTGAGTGAGGCTGAAACAACCATAGGCATAGTCTGAATGGAAGATGAGACGTGCTAACCTTCAAAGCTGCTATGTGTATCTAAGTGAATTTGGTGCATAATTACAACAGATTTAGTCAGAATACGAACCAGTACATTCAATTCACCTATGGATATTCGACCTAGGAAGTCCAACTTAAACCTCTTGCTCCCTCTCCAATCGGTTATTTTTTTCCTAGCAAGGGGGAATATTGGCGCTTTGGAGGACTTCCATTAAGTGTAGAGAGCAGTGGTCTCATGAACCTCACACCAAGTGTTCAAAAGGTCGCTAGAGTCTTCCTGGGTGACAAGCTAAAGGCGTCGGTTTGATGCTTTGATCCAATTAACTGTGGGTTCGGACCCCAAAGTGGTAGTTCGGGTGCGTCCGGCGTACACTAGTGTCACACTTGTGACCTACCCACAAGCTGGTGGGGCGGAAATGACACACCTTAGCGTAAATTTTCCGAAAGGGACACCAAGAGGCCGTCCAATGCCGCAGAGGGAGGGTAGCTAGGAGGAGGGATTTTCATGCTCAGTTAGCATAGTTGTTCCACTTATCAGAATGTTTCTCACAGCTGTCATGCCAAAACTATCCATTTGGCTGCGATCGCACATTCAAGCATCACATTGTCCAAGTGGATCTCTACTTACGGCAGTGAATCAGTGTGTCGTAGTACTGCAGTGTGGGTAAACAAGCCAGAACTACGTTGCCAGTTCGGTGCTAACGAACTTGTGCTATTCTCCAAATACTGTATTTTCCTAGCCAAAGTTCGTTTGCTGGGTAGATTTGACTGCCGAGCTTGCTCCCTTAGAGTAGTTCCTGGTAATAATCTTGAGATAGAGCCGTTCACCATTACAATTAAGTCTAGTTTAAAAAAAGATGGCCAAGTCTGTGAAGTCTTGACAGCGGTTAATCATTGTAGATGACTGAGCTAGCGTTACTGATAAAAAACGTAGTGAGACTATTGAACGCCATCAAACTGGAGTTGACCTTTGGGTTTCCGAAACTCAGGTCTGAGGAAGGACCTTTCGTTGTAGTCAACTTGTCTCATTCTGAATAGGGAAACGAACTTTACGCTTTTAAACTCGAAGCTCTCAGTTTTTTTCTGAAAGCGATGTGCCTACTTCTACCCAGCGTATCCATTAATTACTTTAACTCTTCTTCCTTGTGTACGGTAATCTCTCAAGAGGTCTCTACTGGGATGTTCTCTAGGGTTTAAGCACTTAGTCATGTGTGATGGATTAGGCTTACACCTTCTGTTCAGGAGGGTGGTCTATCTGGATGGTCTAAATTCTACAGGAAGTTGCGATGCCCGTGAACCGAAAAGCCTGTCGCTTTGGAGACACACTGTAATCCAGTAAGAATCGATGTTAGCCACACAACACATGCGCTGTTTCCATTTGAAACCTGGAGTGAACAAAAACGGGATGGTTTTTGTATTGGTTCATCACTACAGCTTGCTCGCAACACCCCAACCAGGGATGATAGAGTTTCAGCGCTAAAAGCCATCCACTGGAGCGCTCTAATCAACCTGGAGGAAGCTCGAGAGCTGAGGCACTGTCAAGATTCTCAAGCCTAGACGGAAACACCCTGAATTCTGAGGATGGTCCGAAATCACAACCCACTCTACAGTCTCTCACAACTTAGCACCCTCGAGCCTACAACCTGTTAACAATACTTCAGTAAAGTTCCCGCTGGAGTACAAGTTTAGTCGCTGAAGAACGAAATAGCCTGTTCACTTTAGTGGATTCGCGCTGATGCTGACTTCAGCCACTTTACCAGAAAGAGCTACACCTTAGAATAGAACCAGCAGGTCAGAGATAAATGACTCAACGACAAAGCTAATGAAACTCTACGCTATCCACTTCGATTGAAAGTTTTTGGTTGGTACTTTAGTCCTATGCAACTAAAACATGTAATGTAATCACATTAATCTGACTTGGGAACAGACGGTTAACTCACTTTTCTTCCTCACGTAATCGAGCTTTAAGGGTCCGATTTTCTGCAGTCCATCGTTCGAACTCTTGCTGCATGCTTTCCAGGTCTTCTTGAACGAAATCCATCAATTTCCCTAATGGGAGTGCAGAGCGTGACAAGGACTGGAGAGACTGACATAATCGGTCGATATCTTTCCCCATTTGGGCTCGTTCACGTAGTCTGGTAGCTTCATCCAGCTCTCCATTCATATACCCCTTTGGAAAGTAGGTAGTTGGGAGTGAATTTTAACAGAATGACCTTTGCAATGAGCTAGATTTTGAAAAAGAATCCTCGAATAGCCGTTTACTTAAAAGGTGACAAGTGCCTTTATTCACTCAGTTGGACTTAAGTCGCCACCGATTATCCTTGATTTCAATGAATGTGGTCCAAAAACCTTACGCACTTCACAATATTCCTTGCGGCCATCGAAGACATAGCTACTGTCCTGTGTTTTTAACAACCGCTGTTTGCTCCAGCGTAAATTACGCTCGTTTTTCACTGAGGGTGATACTGCATTCAATCAACAGGCTTCGCTGACAGAGCAGACCTAACGTAAACCTCTGTTGTCCATCAGTACCCAGCTGACTTTATACGATCATGTACAATCGCCCCAACTCTTTTCATAGCCTAAACTGGAACGTACAGTAGTAACTTATCCACGGAAAACAGCAAGTGCCGATAGTATTCTGAGAGTGTTATAATTCACTGGTTTTTACGGTATTCATATTTTTTTATTTCTCGTTTATTTTACGCATTCTTTCTCTGTGGAACTTTAGAAAATAACAATTTCGAAGTAGTGGGAATAAAAACCCTAAATGGTCCGAAAATCAGAGGATTTCTGGAATATCCTCGTCTTGGAAACCGAAGTACCAGACTTTAGCTATCCAGACGTGTTTGTTAGCTACGCTTTGCCTGTTTGCAAACACAATCTGCTAAGCTGGATGAGCTCGGACAGAATCTGTATTCCCTTCCTCATCCATGCCTCTACTCAGTGGGTCACTCATACGATTGAGCTGCTGAAAATTCCTCTTTCTGATTTAGTTATCGAAATCTGAAATTTACCTGGTGACTGTAACGGGAAATATTGTTCATTTGTAAACTTGAATGCCAAGACCTAATACTTCGTATTAGGTCACAGAGTTAACTCTGCCAGCAGCAAATGGAGTTTTCCTGTGTGGAGCTACGAACACTCATGAAGCTCCCACTCGACCAGAACAAATCGACAAGCGAAGTTTATGAACACATGATGGGAATTTACATTGAAGATTGCACACCATACTCAACTGTTTAAAAGTGATATTTCAACTTTCAAAAGGAAGATTTTCAGACGGGAGACCAGACCGCATCATTTTTTAGTTGGTACACCATAAGCGAAAGGTTCAGCTTAGTTCCAGATAAGTCTCACGAGACCTTATTTTGTGCCATTCGGGTTCAAGTAGAACATAAGGATGACGAAAACTAGGGGACTGCGCCTACCTGATGAGCCCCAAAAAGGGCGAAACCGGTCGTGGGCTGTCGACGGATTTTCAGCAACCTTATTAGCAGATTAAATGAAGCTCAAAGAAAATCGGAGAAGAAACTACGGGAAGGGGTTTCCTTTCTCCAAGATAACGCATCTGCACACACAGCTTACGAAACGGAAGAAGGGTTTCGCTGCAAGGAGCATCCACCGTACCCACTTGATCGTGCTCCCTCTGGCTGTTTTCCATTCCTAAATCTTGAGAAAAGCTTCAAAAGAAGGACAGTATTTTAACGGCCACGCATCATAATTTTTTGAATTGTTACAGAAACTGCGGAAACAATTCGCCAAGTGTGTCGAATTGTGAGACAACCTTCGGAGTCAGATGGAGAACTTTTTAGCGCTCCTCTGTAACTTCCTATAGGATGATTTCAACCCAGGTATGGGTCTGCGTCCATTCGTTTGTCATAGAGGAAGAGTCATTGATGAAATCATCTTAATTTCGTCGCACATGTTAAGCAACTGATGCAAGCAGTGTTCAACCGTAAGCTGGTCATCACTCGCCAAACCATGGCTTGATATGACTCAGTTCACCTAACATGTGAAATGAAGCAAACATCACAGCTGAAACTGTCAGCCGCAAGTACGCCGCCTATTGCGTTTTTACTCTTATTTCACCCCTTATTTTTTAACGGAATAGGGAAGAATTCCTGTATCATATTTTTCCACACGAGAGCTTTTAGCTACAGATTTCTAAATTTAAACCTGACTTAATTTGATGCAGTATAGGATTTGAACTACCAGTTTCTCGAAGTTATTAAGCGTCAATTTTTCGGATGAAGAAAACATTTGGTCTCAAACTTTCGGAAACTATGTGGCTACCAATGTTACAGACTCACCTGGGGATCAACTTTTGACTGCGATAAAATGTTCCCCGCTTCGAAGTCCTTTTTGGATTGCAGCATTTTTTTCACAAGACCACCTGGTTGGGGAAAGAAGAAAATTGACACATGCAAAAGCGGTCTGATTTCTAGGGGAGAGATTAACATTAACTCAGGGAGAAGTCATCTCAATGGAATAAAATTAGAGAGACGATGGATTTGCTAGTGAATCGCTCCTGTTATCAAATATAAAAAAACGAAAAACGGTAAGCTAGGTGCTGTAAAATAAAGAAACCACGTGCGAAATGAGATGGATTTAATCTTAACTAGATTAAACTCCCCGTTCATGATTTCACTCAAACAAATACACAGCCTGAACACTACTTCTTGGTTCATTCCACATGACATTTGAGTCTTCAAACTGTTATTTCTAGTAAGTAACATGGAGGGGTTGATGAAAATTTGCGGACCACCAGATGCTGGTTTTCTCTTGCTTCAACATCATCAGGTTGGCAAAATCTCGAAATGTTTTACGTAACTACAGAATCTTTAACAAATCTTTCGTCTAGGAAATTACATGGTATTTAAGAAATAATGCAGCTAACGCGACTTAAAGTATGACTACATTTTGCCTTAGGAATGTCACTGAGATTTATGGTTTCACTCATTGTTCTAAAGTCCGTAAAAATACACAAGGTATATATGCACCGTTTTTACTCTTATTTCACCCCTTATTTTTTGACGGAATAGGGAAGAATTCCTGTATCATATTTTTCCACACGAGAGCTTTTAGCTACAGATTTCTAAATTTACACCTGACTTAATTTGATGCAGTATAGGATTTGAACTACCAGTTTCTCGAAGTTATTAAGCGTCAATTTTTCGGATGAAGAAAACATTTGGTCTCAAACTTTCGGAAACTATGTGGCTACCAATGTTACAGACTCACCTGGGGATCAACTTTTGACTGCGATAAAATGTTCCCCGCTTCGAAGTCCTTTTTGGATTGCAGCATTTTTTTCACAAGACCACCTGGTTGGGGAAAGAAGAAAATTGACACATGCAAAAGCGGTCTGATTTCTAGGGGAGAGATTAACATTAACTCAGGGAGAAGTCATCTCAATGGAATAAAATTAGAGAGACGATGGATTTGCTAGTGAATCGCTCCTGTTATCAAATATAAAAAAACGAAAAACGGTAAGCTAGGTGCTGTAAAATAAAGAAACCACGTGCGAAATGAGATGGATTTAATCTTAACTAGATTAAACTCCCCGTTCATGATTTCACTCAAACAAATACACAGCCTGAACACTACTTCTTGGTTCATTCCACATGACATTTGAGTCTTCAAACTGTTATTTCTAGTAAGTAACATGGAGGGGTTGATGAAAATTTGCGGACCACCAGATGCTGGTTTTCTCTTGCTTCAACATCATCAGGTTGGCAAAATCTCGAAATGTTTTACGTAACTACAGAATCTTTAACAAATCTTTCGTCTAGGAAATTACATGGTATTTAAGAAATAATGCAGCTAACGCGACTTAAAGTATGACTACATTTTGCCTTAGGAATGTCACTGAGATTTATGGTTTCACTCATTGTTCTAAAGTCCGTAAAAATACACAAGGTATATATGCACATATACATATATACATATATACATATATATATATATATTCAAAAAATAGGGGGAAGGTCTTTGGTTCTTCGATCAATAAGCAAAATTCGTAAGACGAGGATTACTGAGCAACGTTCAGCACGCGAAGCTATGAGACAACGCTTGTATGACAAAAATACGTTAGCTGAACACTGCGACATAACGACCTGGAAAGTTCTCAAACCTATCTCGGGTTTCCAAGCAGACGTATAAAACAACTGAATAGCCATTTACAAAGAAAACTATACAAATTAATAAAAATACCATCAGGCGCAGAATGTGTGCTAATATGGGAAGAGGTGACATGAGTTAACGTACAATCAGAACGGGTTTTGCTGCAATAAAAGAGGACAGAAACAACCACAAGTTTCCGCCCAAGGTAGTTTCGATATTCTCACTTAACGAACTGCTCAACATGTTATATTTTTTGTTCGGGAAAGCGTGGTTTACTCACCGTGATCCTGTTGTTTCTCATCTGCATCTCCGTCACCCAGTTTCGGTCGTAGAGCGCTACCGGCAAAAACAGTCTCCTCTATCACAAATTGTGCGTCATCATCCTCGGAATCTTGATGCGCCTCGGGTATAATAAGTGTGGAAACACTTGGTGCAGAAGGGCCTGTGATTCTACAAAAAATTGTCAAGCCTTGTTTTGCTGAAACTATCGGAAACGTATGACAATCAACGAATAATTACTCACCTTTAGGTTTCTGGGCCACATTCCAAAACTTTGGTTAAATATCTTTTCAGGTGCTTTATTGACAATCGGTTCATCAAACCTCATAATCAATATCCACTAGGATCTGTGTTGAGCACCAATTTGGCTTTTTGTGGGAAGGCCATTCAATTTCCGAGGCGTCTTACATTCAGCCGACTGACCGGTTTCCACATCCCAACTTTGTACCCCCTTGCAAGCATAAACAAACTAAAATCATCCGTCAGAGCATCCGTTCCGGTTGCTAGTGAACTCACTGGCTAAAAGCGTTTGTCGAAAACAATTATTGATTTTTAAATTGAGCTCGTTTTGCCCCTTTTATTCGAACCGAACATCAGCCCTATTTGACGATGGGAACGGCATTGACTGAACAATTTATCATGAAACGAAAGGAACTGCTTGGTGCTCACTAAATCACCCGTGTCAGGAATGTTTTTAAAACGCGAACGGTACACTTCGCGGTGACTAAATCAGGCTACAAGTTACATTAATCACTGCTAACCGGTTCGAATACTTCAAGCTGAATTTTCTACGGCCCTTATAAAATTACGTTCAAACAAGGGAGTAAATTTGCCACCACCTCACATGGGATGCTAGTCCTGCTTTTAATCCAGACGCATTTAATATTACACAGCTTAATTCACTGGCCAACCCCGTGCAACGGCCATCTCACTGGAGAGATTGATTTTGACTGATTACGTCAGCCGCCGATGAGTACTTATGAAGCTATGGCTACCCCTGAAGAATATGCATTTTTGACGCATTACTACGCAGCTGCAAACAAGTCTGATACAACAAATACAGCAATTTTGGGATGATAGTGTATGCAAAGGCATTCAAAACGATCACGAATTGTCATACCTAAAAATTTTCCACTCCACTGCGATGCACTTAGACTGCAAATTTCCTACGCAGCTGTGAGAACCATGTTAGTTCACTTTGGGTGACATCTAGTACAGATTATGCTTCAGCACAGTAACCGAATATGAAATAAGGACTGCAAAAATCATGATTCCTATGACATGAGGCCTACAGTGGATTTCTAATGGTGATATAAGGAAAAAGGATGGTGCACTGAATTCCAGCCGTAAAGTTGGTCTACCCCGGAGCTTCGCATTTAGGGTGACTTACTAGCTACACACTATGTACTCCATCCTATTTCCTACTAATCGATTGTTCTTTATTGAAAGGCAGACAAAACTCAACGAAGTATGAATACTCCATAGTTTCACTGAAACAAAACCCCAACTTACCTTGCACCGTCATCAATCGTTAAGTCTGTTGGTCTTCGAACACGGGGTGGAGCTAACCGAGCACTGAAACAGAAAAGAGAAGGAACTTCACGAATTGCTGTTTCCTGTATGAGCCTAATGAAACAGCTAGCCGACCGGGTTTCGTAGTTTATGCTTAACGAAGCGATCCGACGGCTTTCGATTTTAAGGAATCTGAGTGCTCATCGTTATCATCATCATTGTCAGCTGTAATAACCGCGTACTCGTCGTACAGTGGTTGTAGCTGCCGCAGTTTCGTTCACCGATGATTTGGAGGAGGTAGGTAGCTGCGCATTGGGGGCGGGAGTTGATAAATTGGTGCACTGTCGGTGGGATGTCAAGTGGGGGAAGGGTTGGAAAAGGAGCTATGCGTTGAAGGCAATAGCTTTGATGTACGAGCGCCATTGAGGGCGCGACTGGGCTATGTCTGACAATGTCCCTAGCCATTGATGTGGCCCGTCTCGGGGTCCATATCAGAAGAAATGTTACCAAAGGTGACAAGCTAGCCTGAAATTTCCGAATTTATACAGCAGCTGCAAAACCATGCTGCTTTCCTCACGCAGATGAGTGTGTACGTACCAATCCTTCTGGTGCGTGAGTTGCTTTAAACAAACAAGGACCGTAGATTCTATTTTCCATCCCCAACATAGAAATGGGGTCAGAAACACGGCACACGTATCAATGTCAGGCTGTCTAGAATGCATGATAACCACACATGTAGTTGTCATAGCGACAGTCCACTAAAAATTAAGGCCAACGTCCTACCAACACGCTATGCCTGGATCAACGTAACCTGAGTTTCTGTATCCTCGTTCTTCTGGGTAAGTGCTACGGAAACTCCGCAGATATAAATGGATCGGCTAGGTCAAGAGTCTCTCGAACGTACACTTGCCGAAATAAATGTTATATCCTAACAGTTTTCGGAAACTTCGAATCCTCCAAGAATATAAACCAAAGTCGATTCACAACGTCAGATAGGGTTGAAAATGAAACGAGTACTTTCCTTTTGAGGTGAAGATGCTATCTCAAGTTTAAGTTTCACCAATTTCGTTTCACCGATTATGCGTTCCCATGCCACCCGCGTGTCCTGTGCAGCCTACAGAGTCCACGTTGGGCAATCACGTGAGCAAAGAGATCATCATTTGTTTTGAAAAATGCGGTAAGATAGTTGAAGAAGCTGATGATCAACACTACTTTACTCAGCTGCGACATCTTTTCGGTACCTAGGTGCCATGTCACCCGAGGAAAGTACGATGACTGAGTCTAGATAGGAGCACTAGAGGTGTAGAATTTGGATCTGAACCACAAACCTTCCGTGCAGTAAGTTTACACCTTAATCGCTGAACTGCTTGGAGCTCAAGCGGCAATGCTCACTCGTAGAGTTATTACTGCCGGCGAGTGTGTCAACACACTTGGCCGGGCTGGTCAGTCTCAGGAAACTTCTGCACACCTGACCTGCATACTGACACAAAAACCCCGAAAAAACTGTCTGCTTTGCGCAGATGTCTCGTGAACCAGTCAATTTGAGACGGCGAATTCACAATCGTAAGTTCCTCCTACTTTCCTATTATCGGTACCATTATTGTCAGACAGAAGCGATGCCTAGTCCAGTGACTTCACGAATTTGTGCGAACAGTATTTGATTCAAACTGGGAAGAGATTACCATCCGTTAATTAGAACCAGAAGGTCTTTGAATTTTGCGAAGTACGAATCCGGATAGAATGAAACAGTGTTGGGTGTACAGTGTTGACCTAACATACGCAGGTAATGTCAATAACACCAATGGTAAAAACGGAAGGGATATATCCCCATTGGTTAAACTAACTTGGGTGGTGTCTCGGATTTCCCATCCTCTTGTCTGGAAACAGAGGGCAATGGGTCTAAAATGAAGGAGATATTAAAAATGTGTTAGGTTGCATGGTGAATACACACCATGGGAAACTAAAAAGTTATGCCGTCTGGTCAAAACAATTGTTTGCATACCATCTTTTCGAATGTGGACTCCCTTCACCGAGGGAGGTCTTGAAACTCGAACCTGTGTGGGTGATTCTGCTTCTGCGGTCAAAGGTGTGCCACCATCCTCCCGCAATTTCTCAGCTGTTGAATTACTTCGGCTGCTTTGTTGACTAGTTTGTCCATGACCATGGCTGCTAAGTCGACCGCTCTCAGTTTTCGTACGTTCTTTTGAGTCTCCATTAAGCTGCAGCTGAAGAAGGGATAAATGAGGAATTAAGCGAGGGATTCAGGCTACAGAAGACTCCATCAGACCAAATAGTAAAGAAGAGTATTTGTTCAGAGACAGTGTTGCTGCCACTTCAAGCAACGATCATTAGGCTTTGAAATGAATCACTGACAATTAACCCATGCTTCATTGCGCAGATGCCATAAATTAAAAGTTGGGTTACCAGCAGAATAATTGCAATCCAGTTGTTCACACAAAATAGTCCCCATGCTTGCAGTTTGCCGTGGGAATGAACGTTCTGGGAACTCTCAAAATGAAAATCTACGGATACTGGAAAAATTTCAGACTGTCCAGTGAGGTTAGTTCGAAAGGTGTCCACACTGAAGATGATGGCTTTTACAGGCATACGTTCACCCTGTTGAAGAAGTTCTTGGGTTGCACAGGAATGAGAAAATGACACTCAGAATAGTCACGCATACAAGCTACCAAATAATGATAGGCTCGTTTGTAATATGTGAAACAACATAACGGACCCCTAGCTCTCGTGAAACGTCAACGTGATGCAGAAAGTACTGCCATACTGTAATCGACTGTTGCAACGGTAACCAGACGCTGATAAGTGGTATAATCAGCCAACACCCGATCAACACTACACAACAACAAAAAACCCTGGATCTGTGGGTGGTTTACGGAAAGCACTCATGCTCAAACTGATACGACTTTGCACCACCTCCGTGACCAAAGCGAATGCCATAAGATTGCGTTATCTCGTTTTGTGTTACCGAAAGAGCTCTGTTCACGCACTTTAACTCCTGCGGCCCCCATCTCATTCCGGAGTTAACGCGCATGGAACATTCCTCATTCACGCACACTGACCACCAGTAATTCTGTCCTGTCTTCTTCCTGAACTTATACTACTGGTGACTTACTCGGGTTGTTATCCTAACGTATCAATGATGCCTGAATGAGCTCGACAACTACCAATCTATCGGCTTGAAATTCATCTGACTCCCAGTGAATAAGGCGGAGCACCATGAGAATCAACCACATCTTTTTTAATAAATTGCACTCTTTGTATCCTGATAATACACATTTGAATACACCTAACCAAAACAATGCATTGAAGCATGGTGATCCTACTTTGCCTATCACGTATTACACTCACAATCGTCGCCAAGCCAGAGGCATGTGGTCTCTACAGATGACCACTTCCGCTATGATTGTCGATGTTAAAGGGGCTCCATCACCAAGTTCAACAATTCAGCCATCCTTCAGAAGCCCGAAATGTTGAGGATAACCCTAACTAAATATGCCATTCCTGGTAATGTTTCACCACTGTTCAGCTTTGCTTCTCACTGTTCCTTTTAGTTTTGCCACATACTATTAGAGTTGATTCCAATGTATTCTTCATCCTGGACCTGCAGCGGGAGCGGGAATACATGACCACGAATTTCGCCTCCACTCTGGTCACATCTGACTCACACGGTAGGACTGGTGTGCTCGCATCTGCTTCATACCTTTTTCTGGACGAGCTTAGTGAACCTAGGCACGGATAAAGGTAGTGGAAAACCGAGGTGGCTATTCGCGCAGCGTTTTTGTGCTGTTGGTCGGAAGCAAGCTCTTGGGTGGATGTAGAGCAGGTTTGAATGTACGGACTCATCAGATTGTTGATATGTAGCAAAAAATTGCGATTCACCAACGTCTCTTACGTTACCGTGTGCAACAATGATAGGGCATTGGGTTACGAGTACAAATAGGTCATGAGCCATGGGAAGGACAATATTAGTTTAGATCCATGTAGAATTCTGATTTAGCAACAGCTGTAAATGTCTGGTTCTGTGGAACGTTTGGTGGAAGGATTGACGTGTTAAAGGGTGGAAAATAGCTGTGAATAAATGTGTTAAATCCATAGTGTGATGCTTTCGTAAATTTCGTTGACAAAGCGAAGATCATATCGACGAAAACTTGTGTAGCAAAAATGAGAAAATTGACTGAAACTCGGAATAAGGCCTGAAATCAGTTCAACTCAATTCGGTCTTTCAAACATTGGTAGTTGACGGACGTCTGTCGGTTTGAAATGCCAAACCACTTCCATGTACACTCTACGCTTCATTGTATCCACTTATTCGGCATGGTTGATTATGGCGATAAGGGTGAGTTTTATCTCAACCATTTTTGAAGCTTCAGTTCCGCTCTGAAGCCTTAATGGAAGGGTAAATCAATGAATTGAGTATGCCAAAGTGCTTTGCACAACATTTGTTAAACTTCACCAATCTGGCCCGAAGAACGAGTGTGTGGTTAGCACAGAGAAGATGGAATTTTGAAACTGTTTTTTATTGAGTCCATAGTAGTAAATGCGATAATTGCCTTTGGTCATTAGTCAGGAAAAAATCATCGCAGCAGTGTTGCTTTAGAATTAACCATTATCTAGTAGTTGGCTCGAAGATCTGAAATCCATTAGTTGATGCATGGCTTTCTGAACAACAATGCTGCAGTCATTAATAGTGAATAAGAGCGGACCGAAAGGTCATTCGGTGCGCTTCACACCTCACACAGTCAGTCCTGGGTATTGCGTTGATTCTTTCTTTTCTCAATTTACCGGTTTATTGGAACCTCTATAACTATATATTTTGATGGGTATTCTAAATAAGATCGCACCTGGAAATGACGAGAAATATGGCTCTCAAACGAGTTCATCGCTAGTTTGGAATTACCTACTGCTTTGTGCCTAGTGGCAGGTCCATGGCTCTGAGAACGATGGCAGAAGAGGCAGTATTCCCAGCTCTCATTAGCCTGCGTATTGTTGAAAAATCTACTGATTTCAAACACATCACTGTATAGGCATGTAACGTTCCATTGCAGACCAATTAATCTAAGCAGTCCAGCTCTGATTTTCGTGCGGTTTAGGCATGCACAGACTAAAGTGTGCATGGTGATTCAGACTGTGCAAACTGTGAATCAACGTTACCACTCAGTTGAATTTGAGGTCGGGCCACGATATAAAATCAGCATAATTCCACCGTTTTAGGTGGAGCTCAAGATTGCTCAGTGGTTAAGGCTCGACGTTGCTGGTTATAAAATCTGTGGTTCTAACCCAACCTCTGCATCTCGACTGCTCCTATCAGCCTGGCGAAATCTCAGCCCTCGAGCTTCTTTTAAGCAGCATGGTAGCATGGCACCAGAAGGGTGTTACAACTGGGCGATTATTAGTATATTATTAAGTGTAATTGATTTTTACCTATGATATGGTTACTTCGATGTAATATCGGTTTCGCTTTGTTGGACCCACTGACGTTACACTGCAAGACAGTGCTGGCAGTTGCGTGCAAACTCACGGTTTTTTCAAGCATTTCTAGTCTCTGAGCTCTTCACCTTATGTGCAAAAGACATATATATAGTGGGAAAATTTGAAGTCAAAACCCAGTTTATTGAATAAGGTGTTATAATTTGACGTCCCAGTTGCCCTGAGAAGCCATTTTCAGTATATATATGTTGTCTACGCTGCGTAAAAAATTTAAACGGCGCCAAGTAAGCCCAAGGACACTCAACTCGGCCACACTTTTCTACACGCATTGGTATGATTGTCAGCCCATCTGAAGGTAACTTAACGAATCGACTTTATTTGTTCGCTGTGCCTGCTCAGAAAAAGGCTATAGAGTGGTTAAATCACTCATTATTCCAAACTCTTATTAAGTGTGCTGTTTGCTTGCATTAGAACATATATGTTAGAAAGAGTCTTGATAACTATCACTCAATAGATTTTCGTAATACGCGCCATGCCTATTAAGTATTCTGACTTCTGATTAACAGACCATTCTCCCTTTGGTGTTGATTTTTTAGGCTAAAACCTTTGGAACGCGTAACTATGTGCTCTTTTTAAAGGGTTTCTGTCTCGTTCGCCAAGTCTCAGGGGAGCGCCGCCGTTTTTTACTGGTTCTCAATAAAGCGGTGTGTAAAAGTACAATTTTTTAGACGTCATCTACCAATAAGCTTAAGCCAATTTTTAGTTGAGTGAAGCTGATCCACACAATACAGAAAATGATTTCCAGTAAGTCTCTACTGAATGCGAAGCGAAAAGGAAGACTTGATAATTTGATCACTGATATTTCTTGATTCTCTCTGAAGTGTTTACCAAATGGAGTTTTTCCAAATTTTAGATTTCGCAGGTAGCTGTCGCATTGCCTTGGTCAGCTCAATGTCAAGTTCCGGTGACTTGAGAACAGAAATTACGTATGTATGCTGGAAAGGCATGGCCGTCTTTAAATAAATACCAGGGAAAATGCGAATCGTGCACAGTTTGGGCAGATTCTGTCAAACCCTGTGAGTGTTCATTGCTACCGAAAAACTTATGCCTAACTTAATGCAACAAAGAGACAAAATAGAGAGTTGAAGTCAAATTATTCAACTTGATCAGCGCAAGCTGACGAGAAACGGTCCCACAAATGGAACAATTGTCACTTTTATTTATCTGCACTTTATTCATCCACAGGACAAATCGCGTCACCGTCTTTCTAGGAAGTTGCACAACAGAAGCGGTAAGATAAGTTAGTGTGAACAGTTCTGAAGCTACCCGACAGGTCCATTTGAAAACATAATATTAATGGGTATTGCTCAGCGGTCCGCCTCTGCCGCTAAGTCACTGAAAGTTAACCCGTACAACCAAGATAATTGGTAGGATATTTGAACCTTGGAGATTGTTCCATGCAATATAGTAAATTCTGCCGCTGACGTTTCTAACCACAGCTCCCGAGGCATGTTGGCTATACATGTCATATTTTGATCATTCCATGCTGAAAATCTTTGGAATTATCTGGTTATCCTTGAAGCATCAATTTTTAATTATACAAGTCGCATACTTGATCCGCTATGCAATCGAGGAACGGACGTGGAGTCACAAACGCATCCATCTTTTTTACAATGAAATGTCGTAAAGAAGTCAAGCTATATTTCGTCATTCTCAAACTTTTTGTACACAATTTTGTCCACAAACCGCTGGTGGGTAGCAAATTAGTTAGGTAAAATCT